TTGGTAGTTTTAAAAATCTCACAAATCTATGTCATACACTTCTGTAGGTTAGAAGTCTGACACAGTCTCCCTAGGCTAAAATCAAAGTGTGGACTGGGATGATTTCCTTTTGGGAGTATTCTGGGTACGATCTATTTCCTTGCCTTTCCCAGATTCTAGAGGCTTCCCAGGTTCCTGGCTCATGATTCCCTTTCTGTGTCTTCAAAGAAAGCAAGATTACGATTCTTCGACCATCCTTCTTAGTTACAGCTTCTGCCCATCCACTCACCATCACCATCTTGAAATTCTGTGCTTCCTTCTGGATTCATTTACGTGAATCCTGAAAAACTTCCCTGAATATTTTTCTGCTGCAGGTCTTTCGGGATAAATTGCCTGAGCTTTTGTTTGCCTGAAAACATCTTTATTTTACCTTAAGTTTGGAAGGATATTTTTGTGGACTATAAAATCTGAGACTAGTTATTTTTCTTTCTCTCAAGAGTTTAGCACTGTATTCCATTTTCTTAGGTTATTATGCTATTTGTGGAAAATCAATTATCATCACTCTTACTATTGATCCTTTGAAGTAAATGCTTCTTTTTTCTCTTGGTGCTTTTAATTTACTTTCGTTTTCAATTGATTTTAGCAGTTTGACTATAATGTACCTAGGGTAAGCTTTCTGTATAATTATCTTGTTTAGGATTTGCAGAACTTCTTTATTCACAGATTGACCAAATGTCTTTCATCAATTTTGAAAAATTCTTTCATTTATTTCTTCCAATATTGTTTCTTCCCCATTTTCTTTCTTCTCTTCTGGAATTCCAGTTAAATGTACACTAGATTATTTGACTAAGTCCCACATCATTTCTCTTAAGCTCTGTTCTTTCCAGCTTTTTCTCTATGCTTCCGTTGCAGTATTTTCTTACAAGCTGTTAATATATTTGCTAATTCTACCTTGTTTCGTTTAGTCTTCTTTTAAAGCCCTCCACAGTATTCTTAATTTCAGGCACTGTATTTTTCAGTTCTAGAATGTTCATTCATTTCTTTTTATAGATTTCAATTCCTCTTTGAAAATTTTAATATTTTCATCTGTTTTGTACTTTTTCTCGATATTTAATAACTTATGAAATATATTATATGAAATAGATTAGTCGTAATTATTTAAAAGTGTTTGACTATTAAATCCAATACCTGGATTACCCATGGGGCTGCTTTTATTTTCTCTTTTTCTCTTAATGATTTGTCACCTTTTCCTGGCTCTTCCCTTTCCAACGTATTTTGTTAAGAATACAAGAACTACAGAGCTAGAGGTGATATTCAATTTATTTCATACAACAGTAAATTTTGGCATCAAATTCTCCTCTTTCTCTCTTTCTCTGTGTATCTACACACACACATATGCATATGTACACATACATATATTTATACATACATATATATGGAAACAACAAGCTAAGATGATAAAACAAAGTTTACTGAATTAAATGAATAAACTGACCATTACAAGGTATAAAATTCGTACCTCTGTCAATGTTGGAGTGATACTGCTATTTTAAAACTTTTGAAGAAAATTAAGACCAAAGGAACTTCAAAGTTCAAATCAGTGAGGACAAGAATAGAATTGATGCATTTTTTTTTCCTTAGATTCTTCCAGGGGAATACAATTACAAGCACTTTGGAAGAGACTTACGATAAGAAACATTACATATCTCAGAACACTATTAGCTATTTACCTTAGTTAACTGACAAAATATGGAGGGAAATTACAAATCCAGACCATCCTTACTTTCCATAGGATTCATTATAATGGCCATAAGAATGCAATAGTTATGTAAGATTTCTATGTATGGGCTTTTCTTTGTCATTAACCAAAAAAAAAATTTAAGTAAAGAAATACTTGAACATTTTAAACAGTTTTCTTGTTATATAAATTCATTTTCTTGGTCAAGTCACTGAGCTTTAATATGCCCTAGTTTTCCCATCTTTAAAATGAGAGAAATAAAAACTATACATATTTTAGGTCTGTGGTTTGGCCAGTAGGATATATCTAATGAAGTGTCAAAATAACAAATGTAATACAACACATGTTTAAATCTATAGTCACTGTTGGGAAAATAGAATAATCAGGCCCCCTTGACATATTCACATTTACAACTTTTCCATTTCTTCTCTTCTACCTCCTACATACTAACATGAATTTTTTCTTTGCACCCTCACCTTTTTATTCCACCACCCTCCCATTGTCCTCTGAATAAAGTTTTACTCTTGCTAGCCTAAGTCCCAAGCTTTAGTTGACCAAAGGTAGAAAATGTAGGCGGAGAAAGATAAGGCCAAGAGATCACTGGAAAGACTATGTTATTCTTCTTTGCTGGGATATTCCCCACGCCTTCCCTTATTGCAAAAATTGGGTATCTAAGCAAAGAATAGAGAAAGTAAAACAAAACTACCACACACACACACACACACACAAAATCAACAAAAATGTTTTACTTAATCTATTAGAGTAAAAAAAGGAACAGAGAGTAAGCAGCAGATTTGGAGGATGAGAGAATATTCAGGTGTGTGAGAGTCAAAATAGAGAAAATGGGACTTTAAGAAGTTCAATTTTCGGTTATGATTTAGATATCCTTTAATATTCTTATGTAAATGCATTTCTAGACATTAAATTATTTTTAGCAGCTTGATTGTGTCTTTAATTGGGTCACTAAAATGAACTTGAGCCACAGGGAGTCCATCTGGATTCCTCTGTGACGTGAGCCTGTCACTAATGCTTTGCATTTTGCCAAAGTCAGTGGTATGTTTCTCTTTCTGTCCTCGTGTTTCTTGACCTTCTGACAGAATTTGGCAGGATTCATCATTCCCTCCTTCTGAAACACTGTCCTCTCTCAGATCCTATCACATCACTTTCTTTAGTTTTTCTTCCAACTCTCTGGCTACTCTTCACCTGTGAGCTTGTCCGTCTCCCTATGACAGCAGTTCTTCAGGACCCAGTTCTAGGTCTCCCTCCCCTGCACATCCTCTCCTGTGGGGAGTGTCCTAGTCCTGTGGTTTTGAGACCATCAGTGATTTGATGATTCCAAAATTTATATCTGCAGTCCAAACTCAGATACTTATGTACTTGAAATTTTTACTTGAGTGTCAGGCTAGGGTTTCAAAATTAAAATTCTATAACTGAATTTCTGCTTTTACTCTTAATGTCTCTTTTCCTGTATTTTAGCAAATGACTCTACCATTCGTTCAATTCTATATTCCCAGGAATCATCCTTCTTTCCTCTTTTTCCTTTTATCCCTACATGTAATCCACCATGTCCTATCAATTCTTCTAAAATATATCTCACATTTACATAAGACATATCTGTACATTTCTTTGCATCTTCCCCAGCATGATTCTAGTTACCTCTCACATCTGTACATTATTCCTCTATTACTCTTATTCAACTAAATCTTCAAACAATTATGGGATAACATTAAAATACACATACAAACTGAAGCATAGCAAAATCTAATATAATTTTTCAGTGGCTTCTTATTTTCTTTCAGAGAAAATCTGAATTTCTAATATTGGCCTGTAAGACCCTGCATGGTCTGGCCCAACTTTACTTGTCCAGTCTCATATCAGTTTTCCTCTCTCCACGTTCTAGCTGCATAAACCTATTTACTTCTTAAAATGTTCTAGCTCTTTCTCTTGTTATGGACTTTGTACATATAATTGCTTCTCTCTTAAAAGCTTTTATTTCAATTAACTACATTTAGACAATTGCCATATTACTGGATGGAACTTAAATATCACCTCTTCAGAGATTTTCCCTGATTAGCTTTCTTTTATTACTCCTTCAGGAGTATCTGTGTCTGTCATAGCATTTGGTTATTTGCAACACATTCATTGGTTACTTATTATCTTTCTTTTTCATTGAATGGCAACCTACAAGGAGCAGGGAATTTGTTTTATTCACCAAATGCAGTGCATGGCACAAAGAAGAAATTCAATAAATCTTGGCTACATAAAGAACTTTTAAAACATGAATTTATTTCCTGTGATCTATCTTGGTTAAGTATTTGCTGGGTCTTTAACTCACAATCTTTTAAAATAGGTATTTCTTAAAAACACAGTTTTTTAAAGAAAAATACCTAACTCATATAACTACTACAACCACTTATTTTGTGTAAACTCTTTTCTAGCCACTAAATGAAGCTCTCTTATATGCTCTATGTCATTAACTGGAGTATTATTTCTATCTCCATTTAATAAAAATAAATAAATTGAAGCTGAAGAGGTTAATTTCATAACCTTATGGACTTGAATAAGGTAATCACAGTTTCATAATGCCATAAAGTTTTGTATTGTTCACTGTAGAGCTAGGGCTGGGGTCTGGAGTTCACAGACCCCTCGAGACCATTCACAAACCCTTCACATGCAGGTCTATGAGCTAGGTAACCAGACAAAAAGATCCTTGGAGCCTTGGCTGAAGGACACACAGCACTATGAGCTAGGCAGTACAAGGAGAAACTCAGAAACTCAACTGGTACCTGAAAAGTCCAAAGGAAAACTGAAACTGAGCAGCTGCCAGTAGAGTAAACATGCTCTATTGTTAGACAGGAGCTCTCTGCTGCCAGCCTGCTTCACAAACTGTAAAACACACAAAAGCAAGTAACTAGAAAGATATATGGGTGCACATGCACATTAACTCCACCCACACAACTTGTTTACAAGAAATGTGGAAGGAGCCTGACTAAATTGTTGGGTTGGCAGATCGGGAGGACCAGAAAACGGCAACAAAGTAGCGACGGAGGCTCCATCTTGTTAAACTCCACCCCTCCCCTCCATCTTGTGAACTCCACCCCTCCCCTCCATCTTGTGAACTCCACCCCTCCCCTCCATCTTGCTAAACTCCACCCCCTCTTTCCTCTCCTCCCTCCCTCCCTGGAAGGCAGGAACAATTTCTTACCATATATGGGCAAAAAACCCACCAACAGCCCTCCCCTATAATACCTGCTTGTATCCACCCTTGGTGCGACTTCCCTGGCCTCACTCCCTTGCAGGCTGCAGAACCTTGCCTGAGAGTGCTTCCATTAAAGCTTGCCTCAAGCCCTTTGCCTGGTGCCACCACCGATTTGCCAAAACCTGGGAGGAGGTTGAGGCCACACTCCAGCGGGAGGCCTCCCTCCTCTCGTTACCAGGACCACATCTGAGCCCCTCGCCTCATGACACCAGGTAAGTTCCCCCGATTCTGTGCCCCAATCTGGGTGGTCCTGCCTGAAAACATGCAGCTGCATCAGGACTACTCTACCGAGTCACCAGGTGACTCCCGCTTGGTGCCTGAGGATTGGGAGGTGTTCCCCTCCTCAGGACAGCCACCTTCTCTCCATCTGCAGCCCAGGATTCCAAGTGGGGACGCCTGTTTTAATCCCCAGCCTCCAAATTCGACCCAAAAACCCCTTTGGGTTGCCTGCTGGCCAATCTCAAAACTTTGGGCCTCTCACAAGACTTGAGAAGGCACCGCCTTATTCATTACTGTTTGGTGGCCTGGCCCCAATACCAATTGGACAATCAGTCTTGATGGCCTCTCGAGGGCACCTTTGACTATCAGGTCCTCATAGATTTGGACAATTTTCACAGGCGCCAAGGCAAATGGTCCGAAGTTCCTTACATACAGGCTTTTTAGGTCCTATGCTCTCGTCCCTCCCTCTGCACCCGATGCTCCATTTCCCAAGTCCTCCTCACTTCGACCACACTGGCTCTGTCTGCCCCTAAAACCCCTGAATCCTTCCCCTCTTCCCCTCTGTCCGAACCACCTGAAAACCTGGCCAGCCCACCGGCTCAGGGACCAGCAATTCTTTCCCCCCTCCCTATCCAGAGCCTCCTTCTCCCCCTTCCCTTACTCCTTCGGCACCTGCCCCATTGCCTCATGCTGAGCCAGTACCTTCACCCCCCAGTACCTTCACCCCCTGGCTCACCTCCCATTTCTGCCTGGACATGGTCCTGAGTAATCCCACCTACCCCCGACCTGGTCTGCCCCTTAAGGAAGGTCACTGGCACCGAGGAAGTGGCTCGAGTTCATGCACCCTTCTCACTCCAAGACCTCTCTCAAATTGAAAAGTGGCTGGGTTCCTACTCTGCCAACCTGGGAAACTATACCAAAGAGTTCCAATATTTAGCCTAAGCAGATGACCTAACATGGCACAACTTACATGTGTCCAGACTACAACCCTCACAACCAAGGAAAGGGAACGCATCCAGGCTGCTGCCCGAGAACATACAGATCAGGTCCATTTAACTGATCCAACCATGCTGGTAGGGGCTTAGGCAGTTCCGACCACAGACCCTGGGTGGGACTATCAGAATGGCCAAGATGTCCGCCAACGCCACAACCACATGGTTCAGTGTCTCATCACCAGAATGCGGGCGGCTGCTAATAAGGCCGTCAATTATGACAAACTGCGGGAAATCAACCAAACCCAGATGAAAATCCCACTATTTTCCTTAACAGACTCACTGAAGTCTTACTTCAGTACACCCGCCTATACCCCTCCACCCCGGCCGGAGCTACTGTCCTGGCCACCCATTTTATCTCTCAGTCAGCCCCTGATATTCTAAAAAAATTAAAAAAGGCAGAGAAGGGCCCTCAAACTCCCATTCCGGACCTGGTAAGAATGGCATTTAAAGTTTTTAATGCCTGGGAGGAAACAGCCAAACTTAAAAGACAAGCCCGGGTCCAGCAGAAGGTCCAACTCCAAACCCCAGCCTTGGTGGCAGCCCTGCAGTCGGCTGGCTGGAAAGGGGTAACCCAGCGCCCCCCCTCTGGGGGCCTGCTTCAAGTGTGGCGCTGACAGACACTGGGCCTGTCAATGTCTAAATCCCAGGGTATCGACACACCCTTGTCCTCAATGCCGGAGGATGGGCCACTGGAGATCTGACTGCCCCGACATCAGAGGGTCCCCAGCACCTCCATGTGGAGGAAACTCTGAGCCAGTAAGTCCTGCCTTCCATCTCCTTGGCCTGGATAACAACTGACAGGGCCCCAAATCGGAAACCCCTCTCACCCACGCCAAGACAGGGTCGTGCTCCAGGTAGCAGGTAAGTCCATTTCCTTCCTGTTGGACACAGGGGCTACCTACTCTGTTCTGCCTTCCTACTCGGGCACCAGCTTCCCCTCCCCAGTGGTGGTCGTGGGATTTGACAGCACCTCTTCTAATCCACAGACCACCCTGCCCCTTTCCTATAGCCTGGATGGGTTTCCCTTCTCTCATTCTTTCCTAATAATCCCCTCCTGCCCCCTCCCCCTCCTCGGCTGGGATATCCTTCACAAACTTCAGGCCACCATTCGTCTCCACTGTTTCCACCCACCTTATTTTGGCCCTCGTTTCACCTGACCTTTCCCAATGGCCCCACTTCCCACCGTCGGTAGACCCCCAGGTTTGGGATACTTCTAAGCCAATAGTAGCTTCTCACCATTCCCCAGTAAAAATACAGTTAAAAGATCAGACCACCTTTCCTTCCCGCCCTCAGTTCCCCATTTCAGAAACCCACCAATGAGGACTCAAATCCATCACAGATCGGCTCTGCCAGCAAGGACTCCTTATACCCATTAGCACCCCCTGCAGCACCCCCATCCTCCCTGTAAAACAGCTCACCAGGGCCGGCCCGGTGGCGCACTGGATAGTG